GATTTTATTGGGGGTGATGTTTGTTTTTTGTTTTGTTTTGTTTCTTTGTTTTTGTTTGGTGTTGTTTTGGGGTTTTCTTTTTGTTTGTTTGGTGGGGGGGGGGTTTTGTTGTGAGGGGAAGTTGTTTGTTCCTTTTGTTTTCGTTTGTTTTTCAGTTTATTGTTTTTATTTTTAAAGCTTTTATTTGCATTAGTTCGATGTTTCCTTACTGAAAGAGTCAATATCTTTTCATAATAGAGAGTATACATTCTAATAAATCGATGTTTTCTTTCTTTCAAACTGTTCGCGTTCTTGTAAATTATCAGAAAATCTTACTTGGAAGACAACCGAGTGTGGATCCAGCACACTCTGGCAGACGAGGAAGAGGCCGGAAGTGACAACAGCGAAAAGCGAAAGGACCGTGAGTGGGCGGAGCTAAATAGTCGCAGAATGAAGCAAAGACGAACATTGATCAGGAAAGAGGGTCAAAGGTGAATCATGAATCTATCTCTCTCTCCCCCCCCCCCCCCCTCTCCCTCCTATATGTGTTGTTGGTTTTGATGTCTGTTAATAATTTTTCCCAGCTTGGGTGGTTGCTTTGTCAGTATGCGTGCATGCGTGCGTGCGTGCGAGCACACGTGCTCGCGTGTTTATGTGTGTGCTTGCGTGCGTGCGTTTGTGTGTTCTTACCTGTGTACTTGTGTATTCTGTGTTCTCGTGCTCGCGTATGTGTGCAAGTGTGCCCGCGCGCTTGTGTGTGTGTGTGCATGTATGTGCATGTGTGTGTGTGTGTGTGTGTGTGTGTGTGTGTGTGTGTGTGTGTGTGTGTGTGTGTGTGTGAATTGGTTTTTTAATAATTTTTTTTTGTAAGAGAGTTAATTTTTATTTTCAAGGGGGCAGGGGTAGGGGGCTGGGGTTACTATAGTGCAGCCTCTACATAATATGCCTTTGTGTCCATCCACAGCAATATCGCCTTCAGGGGAATCCAAAAGAAGAAAACGAAATACCTGAAGGATCTCTACATTACCCTGCTTGATCTAAAGTGGCGATGGGCGACCCTCATCCTTTTCCTCGGATTCTTCCTCAGTTACTTCATATTCTCCATCGTCTACTACCTTCTCTCATACATGTTAGTAGAACGTCTTCATATTGTTTACTTACTTTTACTTTTGAGGATAAATGATAAATAGCATATTTTGTATAGCGCATATCCCCACTCGACCGCAAGCTCTATACGTTTTACACTACCCCCAGCAGACCCAAAAAATTCTCAACTTCCCGGGAAGTATTCAGTGTAAACAGCCGATTGAGCTGTTTTTGTCCTCTTATTCCGCATGGAGGCATAAGGTGGACCACCTTCTCTACCCTTGAGGATCTTGATTTTGCCGACGACTTTACACTACTCTCCAATTCCAACCAGCACATTCAGGAAAAAACCATCCGACTCAACAAATATGGACGCCAGATTGGATAAAAATAAGCCAAAAGAAGACAGAAGTGATGACACTGAATGTAGGCTTCCCAACGCTGATTTGGGTGAACAACGCAGACCTGCGTATAACAGACTAATTTACCTACCTACCTAGGCAGCATAATTAAAGGCGTTTCTGTCTGTTTTACTTTTGTCCCAAACACTAAATTATGACCGGTATCGTGTCGGTGTGCTTCTCTTTACTCAAATAAAGAAAACATAGCGCAAGGTGTCAAGGGACGATGTAATTGTGGGATGTAACCCCGGTGTTTTGATCTGTGGATCGCCATAATCATTTTTCCCTTGAAGGACCTCATTGACTCCATCGATCCATCTTTTTGTGGTTGCTGTTGTTTAACCTTCCTTTTATCTTGAACCCATGAAATCGTATGTTGTAGATTCATGAGGCTAGCTGTCGTGGCGTCATTCCTCATAATGTGTCCAAAACATCTCGTTTGTTGTCTTTCCCGTCCTCATTGTTCCGTGTTAATGATTTTATTTTGCATATATATCTAATCTGGTTCTATCCTTATTATTGTGAATATTGTCTTAGAAAATAGCATATTGCCACTTTTCAAGTTGCTTTATTCTATCCTGTTTTATCTTTTTGTATGACATTTTATTTTATCTGATCTTATCTCTTTAAAAAAAAGTGGTTCGTCTTACCTGCGTGTGTCAAATCTTAAATCTTATCTGGGGGGTTTTCCATTGCATCATGTTTTATCTTATCTTATCTTTTTATACCATTAGATCTACATGTTATGGTATTGTACCTTGGCTTCTCTAGTCTATCAACTTTTCTTTCAGACACGGCGACTTTGACCACATTGGGGATCCGAAATTTGAGCCATGCATTAAGAATCTGGAGAGTTATTGGGACGCCCTTCTGTTCTCCATTGAGACCCAGTCTACTATCGGATATGGAACTATCTACCCCCACGCCGAGTGTGGGGGCACCGTACCCGCAGTGTTTGTGCAGGTGTGTGTGTGTGTGTGTGTGTGTGTGTGTGTGTGTGTGTGTGTGTGTGTATGTGTGTGTGTGTGTCTATGTGTGTTTATGTGTATGTGTGTTTGTGTGTGTGTTAGTGAGAGAGAGAGAGAGGGAGAGGGAGAGAGAGAGTGTGT